AGACAGAGCACTGGAGAGATGACTGTGGTTTGGACTAGGGTGACAGCAATAGGTATAAAAAGTGGAGGGAGGATATATTTTGAAGGTAGACTAAACTGTTACCAATGCTTAAAGCACATAGAAAATGCTAAATAAACATTTAATGAAAGAATGAATCTTGAAAGGTGGGAGAAACCAATGTGAACTAGAGTACTCAAGAAAGGTATCAGTCATAAAATTTTACTGGTACTCTGCTTGGATAGCTCCTATTCCTAATTTTCAGCATTGTTCATTTATCTGAATCCTTCTAAACCATTTTTCGCTTGACTGATCCCTCTACTATAACTGGTTATTAAATCCAGGTGAAAGTAGACAGGAGTCTAAGTCAAATAAATAACAGTGGGGATTACAGTCAAGTAGAGAGGTTCAAAGACATTAAGAAGGCATAATCCACAGGCTCTGGTGATTAAATATGTGGAATAAAAAAGGAGAGAAAATATAATAATGATCTCTTCTTCGGACAACTTCATAAATAAAAGATGCCATTATCTGAAATAGGGAACACAAAAGAAAACGCAGGTTTGTTTGAGGGGAAACAAATGGAAAAGGCTAAAAACTTTAGAGAAACAAAACAATTTTGGGAAACAAGTATTTTTGGAGTCTAAAGGTTTAAAATTAAGTATATCAAGACTACTGCTTCCAGGGATTTCCCTGGTGGTCCAGTGGTTAAGAATCCGCTTTCTAATGCAGGCGATGAGGGTTTGATCCCTGGTCTGGGAACTAAGATCCCACATGCCGGGCTTCCCTGGTGGCACAGTGGTTGAGAGTCTGCCTGCCGATGCAGGGGACACGAGTTCGAGCCCTGGTCCGGGAAGATCCCACATGCCGCGGAGCAACTAAGCCCGTGCGCCACAACTACTGAGCCTGCACTCTACAGCCCACGAGCCACAACTACTGAGCGCGTGTGCCTAGAGCCCATGCTCCGTAACAAGAGAAGCCACTGCAATGAGAAGCCTGCGCACTGCAACGAAGAGTAAGCTGGTGCAAAATTAAAATTTGGTTCCTCCTTAGGTTAAAAGGACAAGCTTTTTTCCCCCTATTCGTCTGCTCTTGACAGTAAGATTATAAAAGGCAGATCTTATGTTTTGTCAAAATAATCACTTACGTTCTATGTTGTCTTTATCAGATCTTTGATTATTTAAGTAAACCTAGTCCTCTCAATATTAAAAGAGCTAAGTTTTGCACAGTACTAAATATATAACCTTCAATAATTGCCTGAGAGGGCTTCCCTGGTGGTGCAGTGGTTGAGAGTCCGCCTGCCGATGCAGGGGACACGGGTTCGTGCCCCAGTCCGGGAAGATCCCACATGCCACGGAGCGGCTGGGCCCGTGAGCCATGGCCGCTAAGCCTGCGCGTCCGGAGCCTGTGCTCCGCAGCAGGAGAGGCCACAACAGTGAGAGGCCCGCGTACCGCAAAAAAAAAAATTGCCTGTGAAATCTTTGTCACTTTGATTAAATGGATAACTGAGCACTGTTCCACAGTGACCTATGATCCTATTTGACGAAGTATTTTTAAAACTTTTGATATTTTTGACAAATTTCAAAAATAAAATTTTAAATAAAGTCTTTTTTGACTTAGAACTAACTCTGAAATATTATTTCAAGGCCCCTGAAATATCTCAAAGATTGGTTCTCTCCTTATAAAAAGGGATATGTTAAGCTAACTAGGCTTATTTCATATATTAAATTATATGGGAAGCATTTCCAAATAAGTAATACTAAACCTTCTTTATTGTATATCTGTATAGATATATGTTATAAATATTTCAGAAACTATGTGAAATTCCTAGAAATCTGGTATGTCCTGAAATAATGTTATCAGTCATAATTCTAGTTATCTTAAAATATTGTATGTCACAGAAATAACCCAATTTCCTTGTCAACTGCACTGTCATCAGATCTCTAACCATGTCAGGGTAAGAATTTATAGAATTCTAACTTAGAAATTGATGACTTCATAAAACTGTTAACAAAAGATCAAAACCATGAATTAATTCCATGGGACTAAATGAACTGATGAAGATGATTATAATTTTTATGACTTTTTGTTTTAAATATTGTCAGTTCTTTTATGCTTTGTCAGAGTCCCCATTTATTTTGGATTCACAAGCTGACAGACCTCTCACAATGTGACTTCCTTATCTTTTGTTATTCGTAGGCACCATTAAACACTGTGTGGGAGGGGAAGTATCCTAGCAGAACTCATCAGCTTTTTGTTCTTGCCAAAATTATGGAGTAAATTCTAACAACCCTAGAATGAAACTGTCCTCCAAAACTGCTAAATAGGCAATTAATATCCTCATTTTCTTCCCTCCCATAAATGACTACTAGTCAAAACTCTTCTAATCCTGTGGTGTTATTTATGTGCCACTGCTAAAAGTAACGCGAATAAAATTATTATTTGTATATATGTATATTATTTGTATATATATGTATATATGTGCATGCAAAAGAAATCTGTAGACTATATGCCAAATAACTGAAACTGGTTATTCCTGTTTATTTTCTGTGACATTGGGTTTTTGAAAATGAGCATGTATTGCTTCTATAAACAAAACAAGAATGAATGAATAGGTAAATTCATTTAAACGGAGTATTAAAGGGTTAGGACTCAGCACTTTCACTGTCGTGGGCCTGGGTTCAATCTCTGGTTGGGGAACTAAGATCCTGCAAGCTGCACGGTGTGGCCAAAAAAAAAAAAGGAGTATTAAAATTCTGTATTTGGATCTTTAACAGGCTGATCCCCGAATTGCATATATTCATACAGCAAGAGGACTCAAACAAAATAAAACTATATATAAAAAGAATTCCAAAATCAGAACTTAAATCAGAACATAAAAACACATCTTCATATTTGTATAGATAAACATAAACTCTATATCCATCAGTTTTACTTGTTGGTCTCTTACTTTCATTAATTAGAATCATATAACAAAGTTCCCAAATTAATTCATTTGTTCTTCTTGGCTGTTACTGATGATCTACTTTCTAGCAAATTGCCAAGGGTATAAACATCATGTATGGAACCAACTAAAAATGAATTAATGAATAGAAACTAAAATATAAAGTTAACTGAACTTAATATTGTAAAACTGTCAACATTCCAAGGGAACCAGAGTTTAGAACCCAAAGTTGGGTCTTCACTGTCAAGCCCAATATGGAGGGAAAAAACTTGATAGGCTTAGACAGAGTTTATTCACTCATTTACTTCTCCTGAAGCTGAAAAACATTAGAGGCAAATTTCAGTATCCAAAAAAAGTGGGCTAATCAACTGAGGATACTGTGATGGCTTTTTTTTTTAAATATTTCTTTTTATTTATTTATTTATTTATTTGGTTGCACCAGGTCTTAGTTGCAGCAGGCAGGCTCCTTAGTTGCAGCCAGCAGGTTCCTTAGTTGTGGCTCACGGGCTCCTTAGTTACGGCTTGCCAGCTCCTTAGTTGTGGCATGTGAACTCTTAGCTGTGGCATGCATGTGGGATCTAGTTCCCTGACCAGGGGTTGAACCCGGGCCCCCTGCATTGGGAGTACAGAGTCTTAACCACTGTGCCTCCAGGGAAGTCCCTGTGATGGCTGATTTTATGTAACACCCTGACTAGGCTTCATGGGCCCCAGATATTTAGTCAAACATTACTCTGTATGTGTCTGTGGGGGTGTTTTGAATGAGAGCAATATTTAAATTGGCTGACTGCCCTATGTGGGTGAGCCACATCCAATCAGCTGAAAGCCAAAATAGTACAAAAAGGCCCCCCCAGGTAAGAAGGAATTCCTCCTGCCTGACTGTTAAGGTGGGACTTTTTTTTTTTTTCTCTCCTGCCTTCATACTTGAACTGAAGCGTCAGCTCCTCCTGGATCTTGAGACTGATGGTATCTGGACTAGATCATTTGGGTCTCCAGTTTGCCTGCTGTAGATCTTGAATCTTGTCAGTCTCTATAACTGCATGAGCTGATTCCTTATAACATCTTTCTCTCCCTCTTTC